ACTAATGTTACATAGTTAACTAATGTTATATAGTTAACTATAGTAAAGTAATGTTAAGTTAAATAAGTTAATTCGCCTCAGAACTCCACGTCACAGACACACACTAATACACACAGACACACACTATTTAACATTAGTTAACATAGTTAACTAATGTTACATAGTTAACTAATGTTACATAGTTAACTATAGTAAAGTAATGTTAAGTTAAATACGTTAATTCGCCTCAGAACTCCACTTCACAGACACACACTAATACACACAGACGCACAATATTTAACACGTTAACATAATTAACTAATGTTAACATAGTTAACTAATGTTATATAGTTAACTAATGTTATATAGCTAACTAATGTTATATAGTTAACTTTAGTAAAGTAATGTTAGGTTAAATAAGTTAATTCGCCTCAGAACTCCACGTCACAGACACACACTAATACACACAGACACACACTATTTAACATTAGTTAGCATAGTTAACTAATGTTACATAGTTAACTAATGTTATATAGTTAACTATAGTAAAGTAATGTTAAGTATAAATAAGTTAATTCGCCTCAGAACTCCACGTCACAGACACACACTAATACACACAGACACACACTATTTAACACGTTAACTATAGTTAACTAATGTTACATAGTTAACTAATGTTACATAGTTAACTAATGTTATATAGTTAACTATAGTAAAGTAATGTTAAGTTAAATAAGTTAATTCGCCTCAGAACTCCACTTCACAGACACACACTAATACACACAGACGCACACTATTTAACACGTTAACATAGTTAACTAATGTTAACATAGTTAACTAATGTTATATAGTTAACTATAGTAAAGTAATGTTAAGTTAAATACGTTAATTCGCCTCAGAACTCCACTTCACAGACACACACTAATACACACAGACGCACAATATTTAACACGTTAACTATAGTTAACTAATGTTACATAGTTAACTAATGTTACATAGTTAACTAATGTTATATAGTTAACTTTAGTAAAGTAATGTTAAGTTAAATAAGTTAATTCGCCTCAGAACTCCACTTCACAGACACACACTAATACACACAGACACACACTATTTAACACGTTAACATAGTTAACTAATGTTACATAGTTAACTAATGTTATATAGTTAACTAATGTTATATAGTTAACTATAGTAAAGTAATGTTAAGTTAAATAAGTTAATTCGCCTCAGAACTCCACTTCACAGACACACACTATTTAACACGTTAACTATAGTTAACTAATGTTAACATAGTTAACTAATGTTACATAGTTTACTAATGTTACATAGTTAACTATAGTAAAGTAATGTTAAGTTAAACAAGTTAATTCGCCTCAGAACTCCACTTCACAGACACACACTAATACACACAGACACACACTATTTAACACGTTAACATAGTTAACTAATGTTACAAAGTTAACTAATGTTATATAGTTAACTAATGTTATATAGTTAACTATAGTAAAGTAATGTTAAGTTAAATAAGTTAATTCGCCTCAGAACTGCACGTCACAGACACACACTAATACACACAGACACACACTATTTAACACGTTAACATAGTTAACTAATGTTAACTATAGTTAACTAATGTTATATAGTTAACTAATGTTATATAGTTAACTAGAGTAAAGTAATGTTAAGTTAAATAAGTTAATTCGCCTCAGAACTCCACGTCACAGACACACACTAATACACACAGACACACACTATTTAACACGTTAACTATAGTTAACTAATGTTACATAGTTAACTAATGTTATATAGTTAACTAATGTTATATAGTTAACTATAGTAAAGTAATGTTAAGTTAAATAAGTTAATTCGCCTCAGAACTCCACGTCACAGACACACACTAATACACACAGACACACACTATTTAACACGTTAACTATAGTTAACTAATGTTACATAGTTAACTAATGTTATATAGTTAACTAATGTTATATAGTTAACTATAGTAAAGTAATGTTAAGTTAAATAAGTTAATTCGCCTCAGAACTCCACTTCACAGACACACACTAATACACACACACACTATTTAACACGTTAACATAGTTAACTAATCTAACATAGTTAACTAATGTTACATAGTTAACTAATGTTATATAGTTAACTATAGTAAAGTAATGTTAAGTTAAATAAGTTAATTCGCCTCAGAACTCCACTTCACAGACACACACTAATACACACAGACACACACTATTTAACACGTTAACATAGTTAACTAATGTTAACTATAGTTAACTGATGTTATATAGTTAACTCAATGTTATATAGTTAACTATAGTAAAGTAATGTTAAGTTAAAGAAGATAATTCGCCTCAGAACTCCACTTCACAGACACACACTAATACACACAGACACACACTATTTAACACGTTAACATAGTTAACTAATGTTACATAGTTAACTAATGTTACATAGTTAACTAATGTTATATAGTTAACTATAGTAAAGTAATGTTAAGTTAAATAAGTTAATTCGCCTCAGAACTCCACGTCACAGACACACACTAATACACACAGACACACACTATTTAACACGTTAACTATAGTTAACTAATGTTACATAGTTAACTAATGTTATATAGTTAACTAATGTTATATAGTTAACTATAGTAAAGTAATGTTAAGATAAATAAGTTAATTCGCCTCAGAACTCCACGTCACAGACACACACTAATACACACAGACACACACTATTTAACACGTTAACTATAGTTAACTAATGTTACATAGTTAACTAATGTTACATAGTTAACTAATGTTATATAGTTAACTATAGTAAAGTAATGTTAAGTTAAATAAGTTAATTCGCCTCAGAACTCCACTTCACAGACACACACTAATACACACAGACACAAACTATTTAACACGTTAACATAGTTAACTAATGTTACATAGTTAACTAATGTTATATAGTTAACTAATGTTATATAGTTAACTATAGTAAAGTAATGTTAAGTTAAATAAGTTAATTCGCCTCTGAATTCCACGTCACAGACACACGCTAATACACACAGACACACACTATTTAACACGTTAACTATAGTTAACTAATGTTACATAGTTAACTAATGTTATATAGTTAACTAATGTTATATAGTTAACTATAGTAAAGTAATGTTAAGTTAAATAAGTTAATTCGCCTCAGAACTCCACGTCACAGACACACACTAATACACACAGACACACACTATTTAACACGTTAACTATAGTTAACTAATGTTAACTATAGTTAACTAATGTTATATAGTTAACTCAATGTTATATAGTTAACTATAGTAAAGTAATGTTAAGTTAAATAAGTTAATTCGCCTCAGAACTCCACTTCACAGACACACACTAATACACACAGACACACACTATTTAACACGTTAACTATAGTTAACTAATGTTACATAGTTAACTAATGTTACATAGTTAACTAATGTTACATAGTTAACTAATGTTACATAGTTAACTATAGTAAAGTAATGTTAAGTTAAATAAGTTAATTCGCCTCAGAACTCCACTTCACAGACACACACTAATACACACAGACACACACTATTTAACACGTTAACATAGTTAACTAATGTTAACATAGTTAACTAATGTTATATAGTTAACTATAGTAAAGTAATGTTAAGTTAAATAAGTTAATTCGCCTCAGAACTCCACGTCACAGACACACACTAATACACACAGACACACACTATTTAACACGTTAACATAGCTAACTAATGTTACATAGTTAACTAATGTTACATAGTTAACTAATGTTACATAGTTAACTAATGTTACATAGTTAACTATAGTAAAGTAATGTTAAGTTAAATAAGTTAATTCGCCTCAGAACTCCACTTCACAGACACACACTAATACACACACACTATTTAACACGTTAACTATAGTTAACTAATGTTACATAGTTAACTAATGTTATATAGTTAACTATAGTAAAGTAATGTTAAGTTAAATAAGTTAATTCGCCTCAGAACTCCACTTCACAGACACACACTAATACACACACACACTATTTAACACGTTAACTATAGTTAACTAATGTTACATAGTTAACTAATGTTATATAGCTAACTAATGTTATATAGTTAACTATAGTAAAGTAATGTTAAGTTAAATAAGTTAATTCGCCTCAGAACTGCACGTCACAGACACACACTAATACACACAGACACACACTATTTAACACGTTAACTATAGTTAACTAATGTTAACTATAGTTAACTAATGTTACATAGTTAACTCAATGTTATATAGTTAACTATAGTAAAGTAATGTTAAGTTAAATAAGTTAATTCGCCTCAGAACTCCACTTCACAGACACACACTAATACACACAGACACACACTATTTAACACGTTAACTATAGTTAACTAATGTTACATAGTTAACTAATGTTATATAGTTAACTAATGTTATATAGTTAACTAATGTTATATAGTTAACTATAGTAAAGTAATGTTAAGTTAAATAAGTTAATTCGCCTCAGAACTCCACGTCACAGACACACACTAATACACACAGACGCACACTATTTAACACGTTAACATAGTTAACTAATGTTACATTGTTAACTAATGTTACATAGCTAACTAATGTTATATAGTTAACTAATGTTACATAGTTAACTATAGTAAAGTAATGTTAAGTTAAATAAGTTAATTCGCCTCAGAACTCCACTTCACAGACACACACTAATACACACAGACGCACTATTTAACACGTTAACATAGTTAACTAATGTTACATAGTTAACTAATGTTATATAGTTAACTAATAGTAAAGTTATGTTAAGTTAAAGAAATTAATTCACCTCAGAACTCCACGTCACAGACACACACTAATACACACAGACACACACTATTTAACACGTTAACTATAGTTAACTAATCTTACATAGTTAACTAATGTTATATAGTTAACTGATAGTTAAGTTATGTTAAGTTAAAGAAATTAATTCACCTCAATTAATTAGATCTCCACTGCGCGCTGAGCTTATCCGTTGACGCCGGCGTCAGCGACTTCCGGTCGCGCATGCGCACAGCGCGCACAGCGCGCGCAGCAGGGGCGGCTTTTCCCGCGCAAATATCGCGGTCGCCTTGGCAACAGGAAGAGGGCGGGGGCGTGATGGGGTTGGGGGCGGGGCGTCAGGGGGTTGGGGGTGGGGCGTTAGGGAGTTTGGGGGCGGGGCGCAGTTGTGGGGACTATTTTGTATAGTAGTGTACAGTGTAGTGTAGTGTACAGTGTAGTGTATAGTGTAGTGTATACTAGTGTAGTGTATACTAGTGTAGTGTATACTAGTGTAGTGTATAGTGTAGTGTATAGTGTAGTGTATAGTAGTGTATGGTGTAGTGTATAGTAGTGTACAGTAGTGTAGTGTACAGTAGTGTACTGTATGGTGTAGTGTATAGTGTAGTGTACAGTAGTGTATAGTGTAGTGTATAGTAGTGTACAGTAGTGTAGTGTACAGTAGTGTAGTGTATGGTGTAGTGTATAGTGTAGTGTACAGTAGTGTATAGTGTAGTGTATAGTAGTGTACAGTAGTGTAGTGTACAGTAGTTTAGTGTATGGTGTAGTGTATAGTGTAGTGTATAGTGTAGTGTATGGTGTAGTGTATAGTGTAGTGTATAGTAGTGTAGTGTATAGTGTAGTAGTGTACAGTGTAGTGTACAGTGTAGTTTATAGTGGTGTATAGTGTAGTGTACAGTAGTGTATAGTGTAGTGTATAGTAGTGTACAGTAGTGTAGTGTACAGTAGTTTAGTGTATGGTGTAGTGTATAGTAGTGTATAGTGTAGTGTATAGTAGTGTATAGTGTAGTGTATAGTAGTGTAGTGTATAGTGTATAGTGTAGTGTATAGTAGTGTATAGTGTAGTGTATAGTGTAGTGTAGTAGTGTAGTGTATAGTAGTGTAGTGTATAGTGTAGTGTATAGTGTAGTGTATAGTAGTGTATGGTGTAGTGTATAGTAGTGTACAGTAGTGTAGTGTACAGTAGTGTAGTGTATGGTGTAGTGTATAGTGTAGTGTACAGTAGTGTATAGTGTAGTGTATAGTAGTGTACAGTAGTGTAGTGTACAGTAGTTTAGTGTATGGTGTAGTGTATAGTGTAGTGTACAGTGTAGTGTATAGTAGTGTATAGTGTAGTGTATAGTAGTGTATAGTGTAGTGTATAGTAGTGTAGTGTATAGTGTAGTGTATAGTAGTGTATAGTGTAGTGTATAGTGTAGTGTATAGTAGTGTAGTGTATAGTGTAGTGTATAGTGTAGTGTATAGTAGTGTATGGTGTAGTGTATAGTGTAGTGTATAGTAGTGTAGTGTATAGTGTAGTAGTGTACAGTGTAGTGTACAGTGTAGTGTATAGTAGTGTATAGTGTAGTGTATAGTAGTGTATAGTATCGTGTATAGTGTAGTGTATAGTGTAGTGTATAGTGTAGTGTACAGTGTAGTGTATAGTAGTGTATAGTGTAGTGTATAGTGTAGTGTATAGTGTAGTGTATAGTAGTGTAGTGTACAGTGTAGTGTACAGTGCAGTGTACAGTGTAGCGCACGGTGTAGAACCAGAATCCTTGACGTAGCGGCACGGCTTTGCCTGCTGGCGGGGAATCCTGCGGCTAGCAGAACTCCCACCCCGTGCCCTCCAGCGGAACCAGCGGGACCATCAGGACCATCAGGACCATCAGAACCATCTCCCGTGCCACTACGAAGTTGAATCAACCACCAGGTGGCCGTGGGTGTTCAATGGGGTCTCCAGACGCGTGCAGAGGGTACGGCTTTATTTCAAACACGCCACACGGACTCACGGACACTACGGATGCGTATACCCTTGGTTCTTTCGGTTAAAGTCACCGCGTAGAGAAGGGGGGTAAGCAATGGAATAATAACAGGTGATGAAACGATTTGAGTAATTTTAAGTAGAATAATAACAGGTATGAAACGATACAATGATTTTGAATACAATATTAAACAATTTAAATATTAAACAATTTAAATAATTTTAAGTAAAATAATACAAACATAAAACAATAAAATAATTTAAATAAAGTAATACAAATATAAAACAATATAAAATTCTCACGGCGTTTCAACCACAACACAAGAAGCAATCCTCATCAGGTGTTAAAACCACCAGGTGTGTAAACCAATAAAATAATAAAAATATAAAACAATAAAATTCTGCAACACGAGAAGCAATCATCAGGTGTGAAAAACAATAAAATAATAAAAATATAAAACAATAAAATAATAAAAATATAAAGCAATAAAATAATTTTAAATAAAATAATAAAAATATAAAACACTAAAATTCTGCAAACACAAGAAGCAATCATCATCAGGTGAGAAAACCATCAGGTGTGAAAAACAATAAAATTATACAAATATAAAACAATAAAATTCTGCAACACAAGAAGCAATCATCATCAGGTGTGAAAAACAATAAAATAATATAAATATAAAACAATACAATTCTGCAACACAAGAAGCAATCATCATCAGGTGTGAAAACCATCAGGTGTGAAAAACAATTAAATAATAAAAATATAAAATAATAAAATAATAAAAATATAAAACAATAAAATTCTGCAACACAAGAAGCAATCATCATCAGGTGTGAAAAACAATAAAATAATAAAAATATAAAACAATAAAATTCTGCAAACACAAGAAGCAATCATCATCAGGTGTGAAAACCCATAGCAAGAACAATTTGAAAATTATTTAAATTTACTAAGAAACATAAATTTTGTAAAAAAAAAAACAGTTTAATGATTGTTATTAAACATTTTAAATCTAATGATTCAACCACAAGCGTAGAAGGGAAAACAATAAAATAATAAAAATATAAAACAATAAAATTCTGCAAACACAAGAAGCAATCATCATCAGGTGTGAAAAACAATAAAATAATAAAAATATAAAACAATACAATAATTTTAAATAAAATAATAAAAATATAAAACAATAAAATTCTGCAAACACAAGAAGCAATCATCATCAGGTGTGAAAACCAATAAAATTATAAAAATATAAAACAATAAAATTCAGCGACACAAGCAGCAATCATAATCAGGTGAGAAAAACAATAAAATAATAAAAATATAAAACAATAAAATTATAAAAATATAAAACAATAAAATTCTGCAAACACAAGAAGCAATCATCATCAGGTGTGAAAACCAATAAAATTATAAAAATATAAAACAATAAAATTCAGCGACACAAGCAGCAATCATCATCAGGTGAGAAGAACAATAAAATAATAAAAATATAAAACAATAAAATTCAGCGACACAAGCAGCAATCATCATCAGGTGTGAAAAACAATAAAATAATAAAAATATAAAACAATAAAATTCAGCGACACAAGCAGCAATCATCATCAGGTGTGAAAACCACAGCAAGAACAATTTGAAAAAAGTGGCGGTTTCAAAATGTTGTTGCTGTGGTTTTCACACCTGATGATGATTGCTTCTTGTGTTGCAGAATTTTATTGTTTTATATTTTTATTATTTTATTGTTTTTCACACCTGATGGTTTTCACACCTGATGATGATTGCTTCTTGTGTTTGCAGAATTTTATTGTTTTATATTTTTATTATTTTATTGTTTTTCACACCTGATGGTTTTCACACCTGATGATGATGATTGCTTCTTGTGTTGCTAAATTGTATTGTTTTATATTTTTATTATTTTTTTGTTTCCCTTCTAACGTGGTGGTGACTTTTCCGAAAGAACCAAGAATATGAATCCCTGCAGTCACGAAAGCTTTAAATCAAAACTTCTTATGCAGTTAGCGTAGCCCTACTCCGCGAGATCTTTCTGCTCAGCGTATCCACGTAGCGTGCCAGGCCCTCCGGCGATGAATGTCCTAGGGGAGGCTCCCTGACCCGACCCAGCCAAGTTGCGAGTCCAGACCACTGGCCCAGAGTCTCACCCAGAGACTCACCCAGAGACTCACCCAGAGTCTCACCCAGAGACTCACCCAGAGACTCACCCAGAGTCTCACCCAGAGACTCACTCAGAGACTCACTCAGAGTCTCACCCAGAGTCTCACCCAGAGTCTCACCCAGAGACTCACCAAGAGACTCACCCAGAGACTCACCCAGAGTCTCACCCAGAGACTCACCCAGAGTCTGACTCAGACTCTCACCCAGAGTCTCATCACTGGCCCAGAGTCTCACTCAGAGTATCACCCAGAGACTCACTCAGAGTCTCACCACTCACCCAGAGTCTCACCACTCACCCAGAGTCTCACCCAGAGCCTCACCCAGAGTCTCACTCAGAGTCTCACCCAGAGTCTCACCACTGGCCCAGAGACTCACCCAGAGTCTCACCCAGAGTCTCACCACTGGCCCAGAGACTCACCCAGAGTCTCACTCAGAGTCTCACCCAGAGACTCACCCAGAGTCTCACTCAGAGTCTCACCCAGAGTCTCACCACTGGCCCAGAGCCTCACCCAGAGACTCACCCAGAGTCTCACTCAGAGTCTCACCCAGAGTCTCACCACTCACCCAGAGTCTCACCCAGAGTCTCACCACTCACCCAGAGTCTCACCCAGAGACTCACCCAGAGTCTCACTCAGAGTCTCACCCAGAGTCTCACCACTGGCCCAGAGCCTCACCCAGAGTCTCGCCCAGAGTCTCACTCAGAGTCTCACCCAGAATCTCACTCAGAGCGTCACCCAGAGTCTCACCACTGACCCAGAGTCTTACTGAGAGTCTCACCCAGAGTCTCACCCAGAGTCTCACCCAGAGGCTCACTCAGAGGCTCACCACTGACCCAGTCTCACTCAGAGTCTCACACAGAGTCTCACCACTCACCCAGAGTCTCACCCAGAGTCTCACCACTCACCCAGAGTCTCACCCAGAGTCTCACCCAGAGACTCACCCAGAGACTCACCCAGAGTCTCACCACTCACCCAGAGTCTCACCCAGAGTCTCACCCAGAGTCTCACCCAGAGACTCACCCAGAGTCTCACCCAGAGTCTCACTCAGAGTCTCACCCAGAGTCTCACCCAAAGTCTCACCCAGAGACTCACCCAGAGCCTCACCACTCACCCAGAGACTC